ACCAAACATGAATACCGACCAACAACAAAATCTAGGCATTTCCATCTCTAATTTCAATGTCCAAGTCAAAACACAATGACATATGCAAGGCAATCAGTTAATTGATTCTGTGTATTCCAGCAATGAAAATTAGAATATTTAAGTGCACAAGATTGCTATTTCCTGATTAAAAAAACAGGAAATAATATGACATTACCACAACCCATGTACATAAAATCAAAGACTTTGACTGACGGTCCTAAGATAAATAGGGAGAAATAAAATGTTTTGGAACTGGAAAGCTCACATTTAAAAAGATGTTATTTCTCTAAAAATTAAAACCCCAATGCATATATAGTCATAATTACAACAAGACTTTTAGTGGGCTTTGTCAAATTAATTCTAAAAATATATTTAAGAGAATATGTGTAAGATTTTGAACAAGGACAAGGGAAAATTTTGTCAACCACAACCTACTATAATGCTAAATTAATTAGAACAATAAGGCACTAGTGGTGAAAATAATGGAGACCAATTAAAGAGAATCAAATCAATTCCCTAAAATATGAGCATCTGTATTAAGTTAAAGCTATCATTTCAAATCTGTGAATAAGGAAGTTCTTTTAAATAAGTAGGATTGACATGATTGGTTATAAATATATTAATGTTAAAGAAAATTAGACAATGCATATATAGAAAATATATATATAGAAAAGATGTACAGGCCAACAATTTCAAAAAAAATTATTTGTGCCGCCAGACTGTCCAAAATGTAAAAATTATACTCTTCAGTATCATGGTGCGTTTGAGGTACATAGTTGCATACATAGTTGATAGAGGGTTCAACTGGAAAAGTCTCTGATATATTTGTAGTATTTACTAAAAATTTTATACTCTTTGAACCAAATATTCCACTTGTGGGAATCAATCTTATAAAAATACATATATGTACAACAGAAGACTGTTCAAGGATACTCACTTCAGTCTTGATTATTACAATGAAAAATCAGAAACAATGGAATAAACCTCCCCAGACTTACTTCTATAAATGAGTCAGATAACAGAATGGTTTTCTCTTCATGTAAAAAAAGAATAAACTGTATTAAAATGTAAATAAAAGGTTGGTGGACTGATATAGCATAAATAATATTTTTACTCGTGAGGAGGGTAAAGTGTTGTCAGGGTAGTGGAGGCAAATAAAATGTTCACATTATATTTCTCTTTTGCTAAATGCATTAAATGGTATTTATTATTTAAAAACAACCACTAAAAGAATATTTAGACTATATTTACTTAATTGCACAAAAATTGTAGCATGAACACTTGTAGTTTGAATAACGAATAATTATCAACTCATGCAAGAAATATATTGGCAAAAGTCCTGTACCAAAGATTAAATTAGGCAGTAGTAATACAAGAATGAGACAAAACTTTGTTCTTAAGATTATCCAAAAATTATTAGGGATCCAGAAAGGTAAGTGGTTGAGCTACAAGGTGACAACTGCTATAACAGAGGTCTTCAGAATGTCACCTTACTCTTACTGGGGAGGACAGGTAAGGCTTCAGTTAAGGGAATGCAAGTGAAATGTTGTTGTTGTTGTTTGTTGTTGTTGTTGTTGTTGTTGTTGTTGTTGAAGTGAGTAGTAACATTCCTGACAGACAAGGGAGGTGAAGGTAGGCAAAGTCACTCTGACTTGTGGTCATAAGTTGTGCCACTATTTGGCATTGGATTCTAAACCCCACTCCCCACTTAGAAGCTGTGCAACCTGAACGAAGTGACTTAGCCCCTCTTTATCTCTATGTCCCAGCTGTAAAGTGGCTATAGTAATCACACCCACTCCATCGGCAGACAAAGAAAATTTTACTAGGTCATTCATAAAAGCCTTATTTAGTATAATACCTGGAATATGTTTTAATAAATATTTGCTATTTTCTACTTGTTACCTAAGAAGCCAAAGAGAGCATGATGTGTTCTAGAAACTGAAAGAAGGTCGATATCAATTAGTAGCAAAACTATGAAACATTTACTAGAATACAGTGGAATATACATAACTATTAACCAAGTAAGTGCACAGCACTTACCTGAATATACCTGATTTTGCATTTCTTTACTTGTATCCTAATATAAAAATTATCTTATGATCAGTAAAAGAAACTTTAATATATATTCAATGATATTTGCATATTTTCTTGGTTAATTTATATAAAGGATAATGAAATTGTTTACGTCAAACATTTAAGGCTTCCACAGTTTGCATTGAAAGCAATAACTGTCTTATTCAACAGGAATTTAATCTTTGAAAAAAAATTATTAATCCACATAAATAAAATATTCCATTTAAAAAGAACCTGTCATTTAGTGTAAATGAGTCCAAAGATCCCTTCCTTTTGATCTCTGTCCTCTGTTTTAAGGTATCACTATTTACTTGCTTTCTTACTGTCATTTCAGATCCACAATGATTCATATGAACTATTGTTTCAAATCCCTTCAGTAGTTCTTTTTTGCCTGGCTCTTTTCTTAAAAATAAAGAATATTACTGATTTTTTATATATATATATATATATATAAAACATATAATATATATTAGCAGTAATACATATAGACAGATATAGGTGTGTATATATATATCCACATATACACACAACAGCATGGGCTCTAAAGCCAGACCACATGGCCAAAGTTGTGAGAATTATATAAATTACAATATGTAAAACAGAACAGTGACTGGAACCTTATAAGAACTTAATAATTATTAGCTGGTGATGTTAGTTCTCTTTTAGATCCCAATCTCATTCTCTCTCCTTCTCTCTCTCTCTCTCTCTCTCATTTCTCTCTCAGTGCAGTGTTACATTAAATACATTCTATTTTCAGCTTAATGGCATATCCAAACTTCTGTATCAAAATAATCTTCAGGTCATGCCTCATACTTTCTTCAGCGTTGTCATATCTTACTGCAGAGCAAAAGCTATATCTCAATCATCTCCACATATCACTATTTCAGGAAGCCTCCTTTCACTTCTATCACTTCTCAATCTTTTTGCCCAATAAGATGGAGCTGCGGTATGGAACAGTCCACACTTACCCCGGTTCTCATTAAACAACTACATTCACCTGGTATGATTTCATTAGAAATTTCCTTGCCACTCAATGAGTAGGCAATTTTGTACTTGAAACTCAGCATGCTGGGTCAAAATGAGGCACTGATACGGCATTACTCATCAAGAAAGAGAAAATATTAGTAATGGCTCTCAGCTTCTTTAGTGACACCAGAAAGGCAAGGATCAGAGTTTTGTTTTTTTTGAGAGCAACCAAAATTTCTTCTTTGCCAATTTTTATCTGTTTTACATTATATATTATTTCTCTTTACAAAAAGCAACTTCTGTAACCTGACCCTAAAGTTTTGCTTCAATCACAGTAACTATTAAGCCTCTCATATTTAAGCCCATTAGTTTTAGAGAAGTACAATTTGACAGCATGTGATATAATTGTTAACACATGGAAGAGAAATGAAATTTGACTGTATATACCAATTGTAAAAGCCGTTTCAGGGCCTATGTATAAAAAAATGCTTATTACTAAGACAATTTATACATTTGTATCAGCACAGACGTATTTAACTGGCTTTACAAAATTATCATAAGAGAAAATGTTGTAAAGCGTGAAAACCAGATAATAAAAATTACACATGACCTAATTTGTAGCTTGTAATATCAGAGTGCTAAAATTAAAATTGTAGCTGACTATGAAATGCAAAAGGTATGAGTATATTTTAATGTCTTAAAGTCAAATTGCTTGTGTTTACATTCAAAATTATTTCCAAGGAAATTTACTGATGTAAATATTAAAAATCAACAAAAAATATGGCATTTAATGACTATTCAAAGGCATAACTGATTTTAACATGATAAATCTCATAAGACAATAACATAAATATCACTACAACTAGTACAATTAACAACTTTTGCTCCAAGATTTATATATATTTTATCCAGAACAGCTTTACCCTATTAAATATTGATTTCTATTTTGCAGAAAAAGTTTTTCATAATGAATTAAGATTTAAAAAATTAAAAAAAAAGATATACCAGTATATTTCAAAAAAATTGCTGTAGCTTAAAGGTATTTTCCATCAAAAATCAAATATGGTACAATAGTTATTTTGTAGGTTTCATTAATAAAATTGAGAAGAGATTATTAATCTCCAGAATGTTAAATTGAACTTGCAGTGAAAATTGATCAAGCTTCTCCTGACTCAAAAATACCCTATGGCTGCTATTGATCAAGAGTTTGGACACTATTATAATTCATCTCCAAACACAAAGAATGTGAGTTAGAAATTGTTTTTGGAAGATTTACAAGGTAGGAGCCAAAAAATGGACTTTATTTATTTAAAAAACTGTGTATTTATTCTGACATGTTTAAACTTTAGTCACTTTCAAAGTACTCTCCTTTTGAGGCAATACACCTATCTAGACATTTTTTTCCACTGCTCAAAATAGTTTTTGAACTTGTCAATTTGATGCCTTTTAGTGCTTCTGCTGTTTTTTGTTTCACATCTTCCACATCAGCAAAATGTTTCTCTTTGAGGACTTTTTTCATCCCAGGAAAACAACAAGAATGTCGCTTGGGGCAAGATGGGATGAATAGGAGGGGTGGGGCACAGAGGTCATGCTGTTTGCAGTCAAAAACCGCTGAACACTCACTGTAGTGTGGGCAGTGGCATTGGTAAATCACCCATCATGAAAAAGGCAAACACATTGAAAGAGCCTTCAAAAATATCTTCACTGAAGCTGAATGCAGCCTCTCACAACACTTCCAGCTGGTGTACTGATCCAGATGGGTTCCTAAACCACTCACTTAACAAGGAAAGCCTGTAATAGAACAGGCAGCCTTCCAGAAGATAATTCCAGTGTTTTGGGGGGGCCTCCCCTTATATTATTTAAAACATACATATGATTTAGCAACTAGGGGATGTCTTACAGACCTGACTGTTATTGTGGAGACCCACAGGAGGACATACCTGGCCAGGCTGAAGGCATCGTCAATCAAGGCTGCTCGATTACTGACAGAGAGGACCTATGACGTCAACCAGGAAAAAATGGAATCACTTAGAATTAAAATGGCAGATTCACATATCAAAACAGACCTTTGATGAGTAAATCCAATTTACCTCATGGTTCCTGATTAATTGATCAATTAATAATCTCCAGTTCCTCAAATCATAGTTGACTCTAAAATATCCAGTTTGATTGATGTTCCCAAGCAACCAGCTTCCTTTGTCCAAAGAAGTTATTCTGTGGTGCTCTGAAAAGAACATTTTGAGGGTAGAACAATTTTAAGCTTTAAGGGTTAAAATGGTATGAAGTATGTTTTCTTAATACCGGATATCAGAGTGCAAATGATTTAAAAAGAACACCATCCTAAATACCTAACTAAAATCGACTCTTTAATCAATGAATCGCTACATCTAGAATTTGCTAGAAAACCTTTAGTTGGTTACTCATTATCTCAATTAATTTTTCTTCTAATTCGCATTTTTGTTCTTGATAAAACTCCATTGCCTATACATATTTTTTTCTAAAAAGAAGACACAACCAAGAAATATACCACTGTATTTGTGTGGCTGCTAGTTAGTGTGTATGTGGATATGTGGCTAGAATGAAAGGAAAGGTTTTAGGTGCATATCTACTTATCTTATTCAGTGAGAAACTGATTACCATAGAGCTCATTTGTTTGAAAGTCACTGCTGTTCCCTGACTTTTTTCTTGTGCTTTCTTGGAAGTACTAATAAATAACACTTTCCAGCATCATTAATAATGTTGGAAAAAGGAACCTCATTTGTTTGACTTTAATATTGCTACATATAATTGGAACAAAGAGAGAAAGTTCTGCTTATTGAAATCATTTTGGAAAATGATAACGATTACAGTCTCCAGTAATTCAATTAAAGCAGACTAGTAAGAGCAGTCTTATAACTTACATATTTAACTCCACTGAATACAGAGAGAGAACTCCATTCACTTTTAATGTCAGCATTTATTGATTTCACAGAACCTCAGGTCACAGTTACAATCATTTTTATGTTAATGTCCTCAGGACTCATGCTTCTTAGAAGTTACATAATATATGAAGTTTACTTAAAATTTATATTTTATACACATGTGCACATGTGCGCATATACACACACCACTGGCCTAATTTCCACAGTTACTGGAAACCAGAAAAATACATCATAGAAACTATTTGTGCCAAGTCTGAGTAAGAAGCACAACCTCCAAATCTCACTCTATTATCAAGGTGTTTATACATCTGACTACAACACAGGTTTTATTCATTTTTTAAACACTAACTTTACAGAGTACACTCTCTCAAATAGAACCCCACAAGAAAGAAGAGATTATACCACAAAAATTAGTAGGTGAGCATCAATGTTCATTAATGCTTAAGTCTGGAATGGGACAGGCTAATTTAATGCATATTACACATAAGGAATTTTCAAAAAGGTACGGTCACACAAATATTATTAACATAATATTCTTAACATGTTATGTATTCCTAAACATAAATATATAGTGAACAAAAAAATCTAGTTTTTAAGGCTTCAAATAGCACTTCAACTTCTTACCACCTTTATAAATAGCATCTATTGAAACATAAAAAGAAATGAATCTCTGAAAGGTTAATTGAATTGCCCACGAAAGCTGGAAATGGTCCACCTCAGGTCTCTGGACTTTGGTGTCTGTTTATTATATTATGTTCTATTGATACAAGATGATATAATGTTTTCACTGTTATATGATATGCATTTTTCACATTCTTATATTGATTCAAAAAGGGGGGAGTAGCCCTGAAAACAAGAATTAGAACAGGAATAGAAAAGATGAATTCTACTTCCAGTTTTCCTACATTTGTTTCAACTTCAGCCATTGATTTTCTTTGATTCATGATTTCCTTACCTACAAAATAACCTACAGGCCAAATGATGTCATTTAAGGTCCTTCCTAATCTTATGATTAAAAGAAGGAGCTACTTTTCTTAGTTTGAGATTTTTACCTAGCTTAATCCATGGTACTTAGGAAAATAAATCTATCATCTATTGCTATAAAATAATAGCTTCCCAAGTTTCTGATGTTTTGTATATATTTCAAAAATTTAATGTGTTTATCTACACAATTTCTGTAAAGCTTTAGAATGTCATCCATTTTACAGGTATAAAAATAAAAACAAATAATTAACAAAAATATGGCATTTTTAAAAACTAAAATAATTTCATAAAGACAGATTTTAATTAGTTATGCCTGAATTCACTGAGGAAAAATTAAGACTGAAATATTGAATATTATATTATTAAATTCTTAACTAAAACCTGAAGGATATCACTGTTTGTGAATAATTTTATGCATGCCTTTGTTATAAATGAAATCTTTGGAAAGATGATTCCCTAAAAGATTTTGTAATAGATTTTTAAATATCTTTTTCATTCTAGTTAATTATATCTTTAAATTGTTCTGAAGAACATTTGGAAATTAACTAATAGCAAGCAATGAATATTAAAGAGATCTTTTCTAGTGGTCTAATGAGGTACAGTGGTTGATGAGTACCATAATAAAAAGTATGGAAGTTATATTTCAAGTAGTAGTAATAACAATTAAAAATGGCATTTAGTATGTATCTAAATTGGCACAAGACTTAACTACGTTAAGACACAGAGTAGTTGGAACTTCGTATTTTATGTTTTTATATTCTATACGTTATTTTGGAATAAAAACAGACAGGAGATTAGGCCTTTCTACTTAAAACTGGCTGGTTACAGAACAATCAGAATTTAAAACAAAAATTCAACCAGGGTAACAATGTGCAACAAACTCAGGTATAATAACACATACTGGTTTTCTCACTGGACTCTTGAAAATGCTTGAGGGAAGTCCTAGAGCAGTATGCTGGTATTTAATGTGACTTCTATTTTTCAGCATTAATTTTTCTTTTATTTTGAATCTTTTCTAACATTTGGCATTATATTTATTCCCTTCCATTCCATTTTAATTTATAGCCAGTCAGTACTCAAGCTACTACATTTTAAATGTCTACCTCTTCAGTAGACATTTAACATAACAAAAAACAAAAGAGATAAATCCTTTAACCTACTTTCAATATCTTAAAAATTGGTTTTAACACTACTTTCTGGCTTCAGTGATATCTATACTTTAACTTGGAATTAATTAGATATCCGTCTAAACCATTTTAAAAATTGAAGTGTCAAGAGTTTATGATGATTCAAATCAAATTTACACTCTAAATTCACCATGACTTTGCCTTAGTATTTTATGAGATTAAAATATATGACTGATAATGAAAAATTATAAAAACATTGATTTGATGGTTATAATTAAAAGGTGAATTTTTTACATATGTTGACAATAATTAACTAGAATATTTTCTTAATATTTTTATGGATAAATATGTTTCATGACATTAACTGACTATATGTGGGGGAAAAAAAGGAGAAGTTATAACACACAGGGTGGTGCAAAAGTAGGTTTACAGTTGTTCTGTGGAAAATAGCATATTAATTAATACATAATAATACAATAATAAACTGTTTTGCATATCCTTAACTGTAAATCTATTTTGCCCCATCCTGTATAAAAGAAGATGAGAATTGAAAATCTTCTTTTTCCGAATTTTTATCTGATGTCAGTTTTTTTTTTCATCATCAAAAGAAAGAACTTGAAGAGAAAAGTAAATACAGTTAGAATTATACTGAACAAAGAAAACAGAAAAGCTGTCCTTCTTTTAGGTCCTTCTTAAGAACAGCAAGACATATGTATATATTTATAAAGTTTCCAAGAAACATTGAGTAGGTATAGACATCCCCCAAATGTCTCAGCATTTTAACTGAGACAATGTCTTATCAACTGAAAACTCTGCTATGGAAAATGGCATGTGATATTCTGTAGGTTGAGCACTGCACAAATTCAGGGTGAGGGGATATGCCGTAAATATCATAGTCTATGTAAATAACATCGCCCAGAGTATGCATGGCTCAAACTATGCAGTTGGGTATAACAACCATGTATTTTCACATAGCTGATATTTTAGACAAACAGATGGTTTCAAATGTCATTTTGTTATTCCTGATTAATACTGGAAGTCTATAAATGAAAACCACCACTCAAATACAATGACCTGTGGCTATCGGTCAAGAAGAATTGTATTTGGATAACTTGAGTAAGAAGATACTGTGAATAACAGCATGGAAATAAGAGAGTTAAATAAAACAGACATGGAAGAGGTGTCCAAAAGGCATCTGACTTGCTCTGAATCCTTGTACTGTCTAAAAGAGAAGTTTGGGAATTTTTCTGATGTTTGAATAATATGCGTGTGCTCTTCTAATTTCCCATTTCCATTCTATCTTCCAACAAGAAATGTTTTACTTCATTTCTAAAAACTATTATTTTTCATGTTCCAAACAATCATATTAAGGGCTGACTCCATTCTAATAGTTGGGTCATTACAATAACAACCCACTGCTTGCATTCATCATCACATTGTGTACATAAATATAACAATCACATGGAGGTAAAAGAGAAGTATAAAGAGAAGTAATACAGTAAATGTGAATTCACAATCATCATGTAAATACTAACTCCAAGAAATAAAAAGCATAGATTATATTAAGCAATTTAAAAGGAGAAACACCAATAAGTTTTTAAATAAGTATTTCAATGCATCATATATGAATGTTTTATACACTATATATATAAATGAAAGCACATATTTTCATAGTATGTGATTGTGTTAAAAATACAATAACAAAAATTGAATAGATATTCAACTAGAAATACAAGTGTTTATATTTCTAGTAAACAAATTAGATTCTGCTGTAAGAACATTTTTTTGTATGTGTATGTATTTTAAGTACTTACACCTCCCTTATAATAACAAGACCAAGGTGAATAAACCATATTCATGTTGTTATTTCTTTCTTTATACCTTACTTTATTTCAAAAAATAAATATGTGGTTGTTTAAAATGGTGCCTATGATGTAGTAAGATAACATCAATTGGCAGAACATTGGAAAGGGGTAAGAAAAACAAAATGTTGACATACTTGCCCATCTAAATCTAAATAAAATGTTACATAAAAAATGATAGTTGTTTACACGCCTCTAATTCTATTTTGCTTATTTGTTTGTTTTGTTCATGGAAACAAGATACAGACTAACTGCAGCCAGAGGGGAGGGAGGAGGGGAGGAAAGAGGGAAGGAACAGGAAGGGTCCAGGGAAGGAACAGGTATGAATGACCCACGGGCATGGACAGCAGAGTGGGGACTGACCGTGGGAGTGGGTGTGGGTGGGCCAGGGGGGAGCAATGGGGGAAAATTAGGACAACTGTAACAGAACAACAATTTTTTTAACTGGCTTTTTCTTTCATTAATGGGAAACAAACAAAAGAGACCTGTTACTCTAGAATAAAGGATTTAGATTGGATTCAAGAAATAGCTTTCTGACAGTAAACTGAAATAGGTCACTATCTTATCTGAAGACATTTAGAAACAGAATAAAATCTCATCTTCCTCTACTCCTTAAGAGTTGATCCTACCTTGGGGATAGTTTAATGACCTAAGAAGATCCCTCCCTTCTGCCCCATAATTATATAATTTTATGAAGAATATATTGCTTCACCTAGTCTTTAAAGATCCAGTCTGATAAAGACAAGATAGCAGGAAAATAGAATTTAAAATGTGGCCTGTATTTCGGTATTTGATTTATTGGGAGTTCTGGTTATACTTCAATTACATTTGAGATTATAAAATGATACAATTTGAAATAGCTAAAATTAGTACTACAGCTACTTTTAAATTTTCTATTTACCATCAAAGACAAATAAGTATAATAAATATATAGGTCAACTAAAATTAGACTACGTAGAAATTATACTATATTATATTTAATTTTGTAAGGGTGATTATTATTTCTCTATATTCTATTCTAATCGATCTTTATCCGCATTTTTATAATATCTGAAACCAGGGGTTAGGTTCCTAAATAATTATCTAAAACCAAATAGTTCCTCTGGGGAGAATATATATTTTACCTGATTTGTTAGACACCCAAATAATTGCTTCTGAAGACACATGGCTTCTATTTCCTACCACAATAGTTAATGGAATCTGCCACAGGTAACTGCAAAATAAAAGAGAAGCTTTAAGAACAAAAATAGTTATAACAAATAAACAAACAACATGTACTGTGCACCTTCTTTGTGATTTTTATTATTCTCTTTAGCGAAATTAAAAAATTCCCTAGTTATGAAAGTAAGGAATATGTCAAGAAGATAAATTTACTCTTTCAATGCCACTAACCAGACTTGGCCCCTGAGAGATTTAATTTCAACTTAAAAGGAGGACTCCCAACAAAACAATTTATCTTGGGGGGAAAAAAACATATTTACATTTTGCATTAGGAATAAAGAGTAGATAAAATTTATAAATCTGAGCCACACCATATATCAATTAAAGTCTAATAATAACTCCTTTTTACTGGTTTCTATATTAGATTAATGGATATTTCAGTGGTTTCATACATTTACATTTCAATATTCTCTTTACTTGTCTAACTATTCTAAAAAATGCTATTATCATACTTTTAGAGAAAGTTTAATATAGCCCACCTAGTGCAGAGTAACTGAAAAGTAAAACTAATCAGAGCCCCCTAAACCCAGATCAATACAAAGATCACTGGGACACACCTAATGCTGTTTCCTGGAATGGAATTTCCAAATTGACATGTTAAACCATCCATGAACAGGCAGAGATCAGTCATGAGTCTCAACTATTGTACTAAAGAGAAGCATTCTCTAGAACTTCACTTTTTATAGGATAAGAATTGAGACCTATGCTTGTACATGGAGTATTATCATTTAATCTCAGATGAGTAGCTAGATACATGTTGGATGATTTTGCAATAACTTCACTGACTACATGTTGTTTCTTTCCCTAAAACATAGTCATATTATCCTGACCAATTATTGCGTCATTAGCAACGGGTAGCTAACAATACCCAGCATGGAAAAATATTTTTTTTTATTTTTTAATATGTTTCTATTAAATTTAAATGGGTGATATTGGTTAATGAAATAATAATAGGTTTCAAGTGTATAATCCTATGATGCATCATCTGCATATTACATTTTGTGCCCACCACCCAGAGTCAAATTATCTTCTGTCACCAAATATTTGACCCCCTTTACCCTTTATACTTCTGAACTCCCTTTCCTCCTGTAAGCACTTTACTGTGTGGTCTGTGTCTACAAGTTGTTTGTTAGTTTTTCTTCATTGTTCACTCACTGCTTCCCATTTTATATGCCACATATGAGTGAAATCATATGGTTCTTGACTTTCTCTGACTTATTTTACAAATGTAAAAAGAGATACTGCGTGAGCTGCATAAGTGTGAGAATGAATAGAAAGCTGAGAATTTTTCAGCAAATATGTCTGGAGTTATATAACTAAAAACATAATGAACATGCCTTTTGGGAAGTGAGAGGGAAGGGCATATTCTCTAAATCTGTCATGTGGAATTTGACCAATTTATCATTTAATGTTTTTCATTCACAATAAACAGATCTCAGTAATTGAATAAAATCCAAGTGAAAAATTGAAAGATATTCATAATTTTACACCAACTGCTATCTTCGATATGGAAAGTTATAATAATTTGTTTAAGATTCTAAATGTTAAAATTATATGCTGTACTTAATCAGAAAAACATTTTTAAGTATCAACTGTATGGAGACCTAATGCTATACTACAATGAACTCCACAAAATAAGTCAGAAAATAACCTACAGAAGCCAAACATGTCTTATTTCCTTAGGATGATGTTAATGAACATAACTCGTGAGCTTTTTAACAAGAACCTCCAAGCTCTTAGTGTAATGTTAAGAATATGCCACAAATGTTTAATGATGGATTTACTCTGAAGAAAACATAGATAATTGATATATTTATTTAACATCTACTATCTTAAAAAAGACTCTTTTTGATTAATTGGAATAATTAGTAAAGAAACAATAATGTCTGACTTTGGATCTGATTTTAAATTTAAACTATGCGTACATTTTCATACCTGAAATTTTGTGAAAGCCTGGAAATTCCATAGACTGAGGTAAAATAAAAGGGACCAAATAAGTCTATAGGTAAGAACAAGATTAACTTTATGCACTTGACTTTTTAGCACATATTCCCCACATTCAGCAGGGTCAATAAATTGTGAACTCCAATAAGTGTCAGTCAAAGAGCATGAAATATATAAAATTAAAGATCTTAAAAATCCTCAAGGATCAATGTGTTTTTTATATCATGGTTATAAACATGTTTGTGAAACATTATTTTCCCCTAATGTAACAAAATAAAGGGCAGATAAAATTGGTATTAAAGTTTTGCCCACAGTGTTACAGTGAATTAACTGATCAGTAATACAAAATTGAATACTAAATTTTCAATTGCAAGCCCTATTATTTCAAAGTAGAAAGTAATTTTTAAGATTAATGAGATGCTATGCATTATCTTACTCTAAATATTTTATATGCCAAGTTCTCAAGGTTCAAAATCATCTATATGATTTTATGACAAGTATAAGTAAAGCTCTATAGATGTTCCATATAGTTTTACAGCCCGGGAGAAATTTTTCCCTTAAGGTGTCAGACTAATACATCAGACGCACGTTATAGGTTGACAGGGTATTTTTGTTCAAAATTTGTTCTGTCATCGGCATGTCCTTTATGTTTTTCTGACTCAGTGATGCTTGTATCAAACTGATCATTTCCAAAGGCATAGCTGAATCTCTCTAACTTTGCCACAGTCAAGTAATTTTTATGTACTTCTGGCAAGCCTAGAGTTTATGCCTTAGCAGTTTTAGCCTGGAGCCAGACGGTGGATGATCAGAACCAGCATTTGGTAGCTATGAGGAATCCAAGCTGGATGAAGAATTGGCAGTCAGACCCTGACAGTGTGGCAGGGTAATACATGTTCTAGAGGTTCAAACAGTTGGATAGCCATGGCAGTTTGTTGAAGGCCAATATACATATTAGGCAGGAGATTTAAGACAATGCTTTTCTAAACAGGATTCCAAATTTAGTCACCATTAGTGTTAATAAATTTCTCAGTCACTTTTACTGTAGCCTATCTTGGAGCTAGGCTACTTGGGAACAATTTCTCTTCTTCTTAGTGACCAAAAAGAACACCTAATCATGCTTTATGTCTCCTACATGCTGAGTGAGTGATAAAGTCAGATTCTTAATACTCCAAGGTAGTAGAAGACAGCATGAACAACCTAATCCAGACACCTTTTTTTTAACCACTAATTTTAACCTCCACCCCTCTTTGTTCCTCCAACCTCTTATCAGGGCACCAAATAAAAAATGAAATTGAGTGATAAAGATCTAGTATCATTCCTTGGCTCTGCCTTTAATAAGACAAAAAATGCTAAGAAAACGTGAAGGGAAAAAAAAAAAGAAATGCTTCATGCTGAATTATCAGTAATTCAATGAGAGTTTCAAAAGAAAGTGAAAGTATCAAGAATCAAAATTCTATATATGTTTGTCTTTTAAATGGTTTGAAACAAAGAATGAAGAAAACATATTTTGATATAAAGTGGCATTGATACTTAGACCACTTAAAAAGGAACCTAGTTTGAGTTCCTTTGGCCCAGAGGCTATCTAGTTGTGTTCTTTTTTCTTTTTTTTTTTTAATTGGTCTTTCTGGATTGTTAGTTTTGGTTGTCATCTATTTTATTAATCACAGTTTGTTCAATTTCATTTAATCAAATCAATGTATCTTTCTTGAATTTAATTCAACATTAATAGGGAAAAATAAATAATTACACATTATTTTCTTAAATCATCATAACTTAAATTCTGTCTTCCTGAACCAAATAACTTTGGTATGATAGCATCTTAATGGTAAAAATATCTGGAAAGGTCAGTAAAAGCGGAATCAAAATGAAAATGCCATATGTAAACAAAGAAATCAAAACCACATTTTGCTTATAATATTGCAGAATACTGTTATCAATGCTTTTTAAAGTATAAAAAATGCAAAAGTGAAATATAAGAATAAAAATAATGTTTTCATGTAACAAAGTGTTATACCTGTTATTTTGAAGTACAAGTCCTTTAGTTTTAGCACTGATGTCATAAATAAAATGCTGTTGGGTAATTATTATCCAATTTTCTGCTGTTGTATTTCCCAAGATGGTGATAACAGGATAACCCATCTGGAGTGTCCACTGATCCATTACTTCTTGTATATTTACATATTTTCCACTTCTTTTTAAAGCCTTTATAACCAAAATTGTATACATTAGATTTATAAACATGAATTATAAACATAGTTAACATCCAACCATTTTCATTTTTACCTTTATGATTTACTTAAGTATAAAAACATTTAAAATCAGTGAAGCTAATATACTGTTAGGAAAATTAATCTTGCCTTATCTTCATATATATGTCACATTTCATATATATCACATTTCATATAAATGTTTTACTTAATGGAAAATGAAACATATTTCATTGTTAAAGCAAGTACATGCAGCATCATTATGTATCTGCAGTATGTCTAGTATCAAATTAAAATATTTGTTATTCACATTTAAAAACAATTTCTTTAAAATGTTGATATTTCTCTCTTTAACATTAGTATCTGACATCATATTAAAATTATATTTTAGAAATATTATCATGTTTGAAAGTAGGCAAGATATTTTTACTACCATTTGTATTTTAAGAAATTTTGAACACGATTATCTTTAAAATAAAGATGATAATATATATGTAGTATATCAAAAATAAAACAGGAAAGCAATATGATAAAAAGAGAAGTATAAAAAACAAAAACAAACTGTTTGTATCAGTAAAGTTATGATTGCTTTATAAACTCAATTCAAATCTTCAAGAAGAGCTTTTGGTATCCAAGCTTCCTATACGTTACCTCTGAAAGCGTATTCCAGAGATCATTTCTGGCTGCATTACCATACTTATGAATGGTTAAATAATCCTACAAAGAATGCAAAATTGTAATTACAATTCAAAGGCTAAGCAATTTCCAGTAGTCACTTGTACTTCTCAATGCAATTAACCATTTCCATGTGTTGGAATTTCATTAACAAAAAGAAAGACATGCAGAAAAAAATGAAGAATCTCATTTTGAAATATTCCAAAAATATTTAACTACAGTGCAATTCTTAAGTCATCCAAAAAATCTCTTCAAGGTTATTAATCTCTTAAAATTATTTTCATAGCCCTCATCACTCCTTAAGGATTTCCAGGGTCAAAGAGCTCCCTCTGATCTAGCAAGTCAACTTTGGGCAATTTTGAAGAAACCATCTCTGCAGTGAAATATATTGGGTGAAACTTTCCCATAGGCTTTTATGTTGAAGGGTTGAAATTATTTTTTTTTTTTGGTTGTAGAATTAAAAACAAAAGAACCTGACTGATATATGCAGGTGTGAAGAGGAACTGCTTTGCCAAAAGTGATGATTATCTCTACAACCTACCAATCTCCCTAGTCTTTCTGCAAAGATCAAGTTGCCTAATACAAAATGATACACACTTATTTCCATGAGTTTGAAGCACATACTAATATTTAATAAGAAAAAGTCAATCCTAAATTTATTTAATATTTTGGGCTTAGGGCTTCCCATTTTCCACTTTCAATCATGTGTATTTAAACCTACACACTTTCTATCTGATTCATGTCTGCTGTTTTCTGTGAAGCATGGTTTATGTCACTGTGAATGTGCTATTTAGTCATGGCTATTTGGCATTATGTTTTTCTGAATCCAAAATAGGAAATGGTGTCTTGTTTTATAAAACAGAGAGTAACTTTCTTCACTTAAAATTCTATCATCTCTACTATGTGAAGGTGGTAGACAAAACCCTAATTTACATCACAGTACTGAAACTAAAAAAAATAAAAAATAAAAAATTGCTGACTACTTTCAGTACTTTATTTAGAGTAGACTACTTTGAAGATAATTAAAGTTGGAAAAGCAAATTTTCTGAAACACAAATTATAGCACCTGTGACAGATTCAGCTTTGTCGGCAACTCACAGCCTAGCAAGTGACAACTCCCACTTAATCTGGCTGCGAGAGCTACAGTGTGCAACATTAGCTCAGCAACCACAGATACATCATCATCATTAGGTGTTATGAATAATGTTGTTGAAGAAATACACTCAAAATAACTAAAGAATCTCAATTTTGACTCTGAACTTGTCATACGAGGCATTTTCAACTAGTACCCAGGGACCTGGATTTAAATAAATCATTTCAGATTTGTCAGAATTATTTTTTATGATTTTGGAGCACTTAAATGAATAAACTTAGGAACATCAAGAATTGTGAAATATAAATTTGAATTTTATTCTAGTGATTCTGTCATAAAAAGCATTCAAATAAGAACTTTATTATCAATTTTAGTTTATGAGTAGTGCTGCTAAGATAATCCAAAATGGGGAAATACATGGACCTTGGAAGGTCCAAAATATAACTACACAAATTTCTTCATAGACAGATCATGAAAATCCAATTGTTCATGACAAGCTGACTTTGGTCCAATATGGATCATCAACTCGATCCTTTGGTTCCATCCCCAATTCAGAATTAAGTACGAATTTACATTGCAAGCAGGCTGAAATGGCAATGACCCAGGCTAAGGAAGTAGCTTCAACTTGCCCACTTCAGTATTCAGGGCAATAGCATGTCTTCTTAGACTCCCTGCGGTCCCAATGTTTAGGTGTCACTGAAATTCAACTTCGGCCCTCTCTCATATTCCCCCTGAAAAAGCCCCAAATGTTTTCATTAGTTATTTTAGCCTTTCTCTTGCTCATACACACACAAAAAGGTCATGTTTTAAATTAAGGAAATTTAGCTTTTTCTTTGTAGGATCACAAAGAAAGTTGAAGAATAGTTAATGTGAGTTTTCTTTTTATAATCAGTCATGTGTGTATTTATTCATTCCATAAAATGTATGGTGCACTTTCATGTGCTGGATAGCTTTCTGGGTCCTGGCAAAACAGTGGTAGAAAAAAGGTTACTGAGAACAACTGCTAATACTGGGATGTGATTTGTGGAGGAGGGTTGGTGACTAAAACTTCAGAAGTCTTGATATAATAACCACTTGACAAGATAAAGTCAAATCATATTTGGTATATGATTAAATAAGATTTGAAGTTCCTTTCAAACCTACAATGAATATGAAAATAGCTGGAGTTGTAAGTCTAAAATGGAAATTTGGTTATATTATGTGCATGAAAGTCAATCAGCAGGATTTGGCATCATGATTCAAAGTGTTTTAATATTAACCATAAAAAGAATTGTGTATTTTTTACACAACATATTAATTAGTAGCAGAATTGTTGAAAAGAATAAAATAAAGATGACCACTAAGATATTCTTAAGTGACATAAACCAAGGTATAAACTGATTAAAAGTGAAAAGCATATAAAGCAAAACTATATTCTCACACATAAGGGCAGGCTAGATGGTTGCTGCAATCCTGAGCATCACATTCAAACAAGATGGCACAGAGGAAAAAGACAGAATTTCTCCCTGAGAATTTCTTCCTGAGAATGTCTTTTTAAGATTCAAGAAAATGTCCCTTGGATGCTGCATCAAACTCCGCATGTTTCCCATTTGTCAGAACTGCATCATGTGCTCTGGCCGAAATCTGTTCCAGAAGTCTTAGAGAGAGCTATTGTTGGGTCAAAGCAGGACCCAGTCCTGCAAAGTAGGTGGTTGTATAGAAGAGGGTGAGAACCTGAACAAAATCAGAATCGGTTAACAAGAAAGAAAAGGAGACTAGCTTCTGGGTAGACCCCCAACACTATTTTCTCCAAGGAGACAGGAGATGTAGGTCTCGGCCTCAGTTATACTGGGAAGCAGCGTCCCTCCTACTTGAAAGGCTAGTCTGGAAAATGCCAGGTATATTCAGGCATTGATTTTTCTGACTATGTGACAAGAAGGTTGAAGCAAGTGTATGAAATATTGTTTCTTTCTGTTAAGAATAAAAGTACCTCAGAAAATTTGTAGTGGGCATATTTCACTCTTTTGGCTTTCCAGCATTTAAACACCACTTTTCTGTGGGGACAATAACTCACTGTGGAATTGTGGAGGAAAGTGAGGGTTCTGCCTCCCACTTGAAATGGAAGGAATCAAAATTCTAAATACTCCCTCTCCAGTCTCCCTAGCTAAAGCGTGGGCAAGTTCCCTGACCTCAGAGAAGTTGATACTTCACCCCAGAACTATGAATCCTACAGGATACAAGAAACAGGAATAGTTGAAAGATTCTCCCCAGTGATGCAGACAATGAGGTTACAAAAGTAGCCAGCCACGCTAATGGCAGCGACCCAACCGGCCAGTCCTCCGGCATGAGCTTGGCTAGGTTTCTTAATTTCTGAGTCTCCCTTAGCTCCTGTTGTCTGCTTTCTAAGCCTGATCCTCAGCCTTCCCTATGATTCCGAGGGCCACCCTACATACTGCCAATAAATTCCTTTTTGCTTAATTTGGCCAGAGCTTATTTCTGTTGCTTACAACCCCAAACCTGACTAATACAACACTAATGGGAGATATACACAAAATAAAGACATTTTAAATTTTATTAACCTCAGGAAGAAAAATAGAAATTATTTCTCATAACTTATACAAAATGAAAAATAAAGAACACCCAGTTCTGTTTAGTAAATCTACTAGACTTTTAATGCGTTATTACCAGTAGGAATTGGTGGGGAGAGGTAGATGCTCAACTTTTAGAAAAACAAAAAAAGAGGCCGATAAGAAGCTTAGAGAAAAAGGTGGGACATTTCCATGGACAGGAGTGCACATGACAACAACAACAACAACAAAAAAATGAAACCATGCTAAACTTTGTCTTAAAGCTGCCAGAGTAGGTGTATTAAACTGAGAAACATAAGCTCTAAAATTCAATATTTGTGTGTACATTATCATAGTAAGGTGATCTTAAAAGGATTCATGGACAACAACAATAGCAGATTAAAAGCTGCCAGGTCAGAGCAATGTCACACAACGATTGGGGAAAGCCCATTTGTAGCCTGGTCCATGCACTCCAAGGGATGTTTCCACATTCCCTGACCTTGAGAAGTAGAAGCGATGAGACTAAAGCAATGACAGATAAACAACTAAAGCACAAGAAAGCTAAACTACAGATCAAGATATTATTTTGCTTAATACCTGAAGACTTTTCAGAGATTATGTGATTAAGTAAAAATGCATAGCAAAACATTGAAAAAGCATTATGCAAAATAAAATAATCTTTACATTTTCATTCTATTAGATAAGAACCAAGGATTAAAAGATATAAATAATTATTTAACACTTATTATTAAATTATAACAAATTTCCAAGGAGGAAGACCAGTAAAATGGGAACCACAGACAAATTTTTTGAGGTTTAACAGTTTCTGCACACCGGACACAATAAAAAATGAGGTGGAATTTAGAAAAGAAAGGTATTTGAATAGATGGAGCAAAAGTAGCTGAAAAGTCAGGTATATCATTGTTTGCATGCCATTTTGATTTTCATTTTTTAAATGTGTATTTAACTTAAATTTACTTTTAAAAGTTGCTTACTTAGGTAGAGGAGTATACAGATATTTCTCTAGGAACAAATAGGTATCATACATGTTATAAAAATCCATTAAGCTACCTACTCAGTGTAAACTTTGTAAAATCAGTAGATTTTCTTAAGGGGTTGAGAAATACACCAGATAATCAAAATTTTTAAGTCAATACAATCTGCAAGCACGTGAAAAATTTTTTGTTTGTCTTAAGTTAGAGACTATGGCATATTCTCACATCAGTTTATTTTTTTTTCACATATCTCTTATTTAGTAATTACAGACCTTGCCATCAGTGCCGCCACACGCAGGAACACCACCTGCGGCGCAATATTGCCACTGTTGAATTTGTACTCCATTCTGGAACAACCTGACAGGGTCCTACACTTGTCAGTGAAATAGTGTGAATGTAAGTCTATAG